TAAAAAAAATTATTGAAATCGATTTACAACTTCAAATTTTAGAGGGGTGTTTCCATTAAAAATGGGTCACACTGTATATGCAGGGTACAGGCAAAATTTTATCTTTGATAAAATGCGGTCTACAAGATTCCTTAGCATCTAATTTGTAAGTCGAACGCGATACTCTCTTTTGGCCAACAAAAATGTTATTTATAGATGTGGAGCAATCCCATACAGCGATATTGTATGAGAATAAATTACGGCATAATAAACATTCAAAAGCTGATCAGTACTGAGTGTGGATGAAAGTTGCTGTATAACATAATAACCACAGTTCACTTTCTTTCTGACCTGACTCCTAAGTCATGTTACTATCAACATAGGTACCAAGGAATTTAGTATTGTCTGACGAAATCACATCTCGGCTACTTACTCTGACTCGAAAATCGATAATTTTCCTGGCAGTTCTAGAGTAGAACTGAATTGAAACAGTCTTACTGGGGTTTACAACCAAGGAGTTTTTGCGGCACCAATCTGTAAATGCGACAGACAGCTCATTGAGTTTAACTTGGAGTTCCTCCGGGCTTTCAGCATCCGCAACAAGTGTTGTGTCGTCTGCATATAAAATTATTTGATTTGTATTCACATGTTTTGGCATATCATTGATGAAAAGTAGGAACATCAGAGGTCCCAAAATGGATCCCCGAGGGACTCCATACTAATTACTGTATGATAGTTACATTTCTCTTACCTCATACATACCTCATTTATCAAATTTTCTTTAGTTTCCTGGTCCATTTTGTCCCCGTATTATTTCCTCGATTTCTCAAATGAACCAAACTAGGTGAGATTTTGATCCAATAACTTTAACATAGGTCGATGTGGTTGTCGTCTTTTGGGTTACAAGTTTAAATGCATTTCCGATGTCCTAACACTGTTTCTATCGTATTCGTATCATATATCTTTTTTCTTCATTCATGAAAGCCATTTTTCGCCAAAAATTCAATGACTTGTACAATAACAAAATGTCATCGAGTGTAACAAACTGAAAGTCAAATTTAGAAACATCAAAGTCAAACCCTATTATGATAAGAATGAATTTTTTCAACATCTTCAATTTTTCGAAAAAGAATGATACTTTATGATACATCATTGAAAAGGTAAAATCTGGTTCTATTCAAAACATAAAGATTCCAATGTAGGGCCCGTAAGAAAAAATAAAGTTGATGATGGTGGCTGGAAGATGAAACGTCAGATAGCAAATCTGAAAACACCATTACGTAGCAGGGAAAAAGTGGCAATGTGGAAGTGCAATATATTTTCGAATACTTTGAAAAATAAAGTCAGAAATAAATAAAAATCATTTCCCGAAATTTCTGTTTTTTCCCGATATCTCCGGATATTCTCAGAATTTCAGAACTTTCCCAACGGCATATTGTTAGTCAGTAAATGCCCAACGTTGCCCCTATTATCCCATCTTCATATCTCTCATAGTTTCCGGGATCCCAATGATGAGGATCGAATTTGAAACACACTGTAAATGATGAAATAAAGTATTTGATGAGTTAACAATGGCTCATTCATGTATTCCATCAAGGTTTTTAATTTTATTGGGGAATCGCCTGAAAGCAGAATACCTGTTTTTTTTTTAAGAAAACAAAAGAGTATCTCGAGTATGGTTCATTTTTAGTATAGAATGAATCACATAAACTCACATCAGAATTATGCCAGATCTTCAAGCATCTTAAGATATACAGGGTGTTACTTGTGAATTAAGAAAGTTGTTACCAACTTCCGGTATATCCGATAGAGTTGCAAAAATGCCATTATTTTCATTTGATGAAGCATATGAAAAAATACATTCGCCAATTCTCAGGATATGAATCGCGCATCACCGGTTTAGTGGGAGATGACCGTTTGGTGGGAGTTGACCATTTTTCGCTAGATTATGGTTTTCCAGATGTTGCGTATCTCTACGCTAGCTTGACTAAATAAATTGTTGGACAACATGTATGCGGCTTCTTTGAATTTCCACCTAAACCAATGTTCCTCCCTGTATATGATTTCAGCTTGGAACCATTCGATGTTATGTTGATGGGTCCAAACATGCTCTGTTATTCCTGATTTGCTGGTTTTTCCTTGCTGTGTGTGTTTCTTGTGCTCGGCAACGCGAACATTCAATGGCTTCTTAGTTTCACCGATATAGGATTTTCCGCACTCACACGGTTTCTGGTAAATGCAATTCTTGGAATCGCAGTCCGCGTTTGGTGGCTGCTACGGATAATGTTCCCAGATCTGAAGCAGATTCTAATGTTGTACTTGGATCCAATTCTTCTTATCCTTTTCGATAATCCTCTGATGTTGGGAAGTGCAAGCACTGGCTGTGACGGCTTATCTTCCTTGTGGAGTTCTTGCTGTCTTCTAGCTAAGGCCTGTTCTACCAACACTCTGGAGTAATCATTCCGTTGTAGGTCATTTTGATGATGCCTAGTTCCTTTTCGAGACTTTCCTTTGTATTACAAAGTCCGAAAGCACGGTCTAATAGAGTCTTGATAATTCCTCTCTTAGTCGATTAATAGTGGTTGGATTTCTGGTTCAGATACTGTCCTGTGTGAGTGGATTTTCGATATATAGATGTTTCCCATTTAGTGTCGGTCCTCTACACCAGTACGTCTGGTTGTGGATTTCCTTCTCCATTGTGAAAGTGATGGAAGGTCTTACACTGTTAATCTGTTTCAAGAAGGCGTCTAGTTCTACATTCCCATGATTCCATTTTATGAAGGTGTCGAGGTTTCTTGAGGGCTTCTTCAATGACCAGTGTTTCAAACTACTTCATATATATGTTGGCTATGACTGGTGAAAGTTGTTTCAAACAAATTAATCCTAATATTTCCAAAATACGGCTAACCGACGGTTATCGCGCTATACCCTGAATCAGAAATAATCTCCGGGAGTAGAAAAATTTCGTTTAGAATTTATGAACGTTAGTGATTCTGTTGATGGATGAACAACTATTGAAAAAAATGTAACCTTTCTATCTGATGAGTAAATTATAATAATCAAGTCCGCATCTATACGATGCAGGATTCAAATCCTCCACTTTGTTTATTTCAAAAACCTAATTTTGTAATTCATATCGAAACAGATACTTTTGCGAAATTGTCGATCACCTGGATTTCTCATAACTTGCTGTATATGTGTGACTTCATTTTTATAACTTGGTTATTATTTTTCTGAGACATCCATTCATCATTTTATGTCAGCAAGATTGTTTTCCTCGAAACGCGTTTATGAGTTGTCGATAGATATTAGTAATATAAAACAATAAAAAGGATATTGATTAAATCCACTGGATTTCCATGTCATCGCCCTCTACGCAATGAATATATCCTAATCATTGGAATGACGTTAATACAAAACCTGTTTTTCTATCTCTGTTAACAATTTGTCTTTGGTAATAAAATGAATGGCATTCAACTCAGTTGACCGGAACAATGATATGAATAGTCAATGAAAATTTCCAAATAATTTTCAGATCGAACTTTGTATACGGCACTTAATTAAGCGCTTCCTATATTTGAATTTGAATAAAACAAAGTGTGCCTGAGATATCATTGATGCCATCATGTGTGGAATATAACATCGTTCAAAGGTCCGTTATGGCTCTTCTGGGTGGAGCGATTCTGAAATGTCCAATTTTGCATCACTCTGGCGCATCTGTATCTGTAGAATAGAAGGGTGTGTGTAGACCCACAGCACTTAGGCCACATGTGACCCATTGTATATCCTCCCGAGGAGTTGTCCTCCCTCCTAGGTCATCGTCCATCCTGTCCTTACCAGGAAGGTGGACAGTTCACTAGGAAACATCTCCTTCATATCGAAGTGTAGGCCAAGACTCGCCGAACACACACTCTCTTTGGCAACCTTGAGGTGTCTCACGGTGGCTTCCGCGAAGGTTTTGGAAAGTGCAGCGACAATACTGTCGTTGCGTGGCTTCTTCAACCTTCTTGGGGTTCCCTCCGTGGATGTGCACAAGTGAGGGAGCTTTCCTGCAGGGGTAGCCGGTTCCTTGCCTTTATTCAAAGTGGATCTCTTGACGCCCGCCGCAGGAAGTGCCCTTGCTGTTGGAGGTGAAGTGGGTGAGGAGAAGGGTGCTCTTATAGTTGCTGCCACTCCTACCTCCATAGTTCTCTTTCTCATTTTGGACTTGGCGCCGCAAATACGCTTACGCCTTGGCCTTTGTATTACATCACGAGGTCATCTGCTATGTCCAGCCTCATTTCAAGCGGTAGATTGGGGAGGACATTTCTGTTCATCCCTAGCCACTGCCTTAAAATGAGGTTAGCAGTTGTGTCCAGCCTCGGGATTGGTTTTTGTTTTTGTTTTTTCTGTTTTTGTGTTTGTTACAGTCATGAGAGTAGCAAGGGTCACCTCTGGCAGAGCCGCGCATTACCAGAGGTAGGCTAATTACAATGGGGTTTCGCCCAGTTCCTCAAGGAGATCGTTTGTGTCCGCAGCTGCCGGCAGGATAGGCTGGATAGGCTTTACAAAACATGCCACGATGGCTCGGTGAGACAAGCTCACCGAGATATCGCAAATTTTTCACTTTTTCGACACAAAGTGGCCACAGCCGTGGCCACTTTCTGAATAGAAGAACAGTATAGTGTGCAAATATAAAAGGAAAACCGCTCAGCAGTCCTGGAACTCTGAAGTTATGCAAAAAGGCCATTGATGCAGTGAAGAAGGATGGGTTGCCTTGGCAAACCGCAGCTAAAAGGTTCCAGGTACCTGGAAATACTTTAAAACGGCATGCATTCGACAAAAATGTTCAAGCAGTAAACACAAAAAAGGTTCTTGGTCACTTTCGGCCCATATTTACTGAGGAGCAGGAAAATAAAATAGTTAACCATCTTTTGGACATGGAAGTCCGTTTTTTTTGACGTAACAGTAGCTGATCTACAGGATCTTGCCTACAAACCTCATAATATTAATTGATTTACATTTTTTTTTTCGGAAATCATGACCTCTAATAATATTTTTGAGTTGAGGAATACCATGGCACCGAAATTTGGTTTGGAATTAGGTGATATTTGGAGCCTTCCCACACTTCAGCGTAATCTCCGTTATGTCAATACAGGGTGGTAAAAAATACAGTTTTTTCGTTTGTGTTATTACAAATTCAGTAAGCTGGTGAAATTTGCTCTCTTTTTGTTCTATAATTTCAAAACAGTAGGCAGTAAATTATCAGAAATGACTGCCTCAATCTGTCTTTTGCAGTGGCTTACGGAAATTTTATGAAGCTCGATGTGGCTAGCTATACGATTATACTTCCATAGTCTTGCTGCTGAGGTCTTTGTTGTTTTGATAATATCATTGTCTATTTCACTCATCTGAATAACTGGTAAATATTCCAGCGGTTATATGAAGTATTCAGACAGTATTTAGACTGGAAAGACAAAGTTCGAATTCAACGAAAAAACAAAAAGTTTCTGTTTGATCTATGAGAGCCGTACTGCTAGCCAAGTAAAAACGACAGAAACTATAGCAAAAAAAATCAAAAATATCATGCAGCTGTGCATAAAAAATGAAGTAAATTTTCATGAAGTTACCTTTTTTCCGACTTATCATCTCTTGTCAGAAGAGGATTATCTTGTTTGTTTGTTTCGACCAAAATGCCGAAACAAATCTTGGAGGTAACACGATAATAAAGACGTTAAGACAGAAGTTACAGTAACTAACAAAGAAAGTATCTAGAAATCATGACCCGGAAGTTGGAAATGGGAGTTGGAAAAAAAGTGCAATATACAAAACAGGTTTATTCAAAAATTACATAAATAAATGAATGTTTCCCAGATCTGGCTCCTCTTCATTTGATGCAATAGTTGGCATCTGCAATGAAATTTCAATTAATCACCAGAAATATGATGGAATCGGACAATACTTGATGAAAATCCATAACTAACGTATTCTAAAAACACTTAATTGTGTGATTTTCACTAGATAGTTTCACAAAAACGCAACACGTGTTTCGTCATACAATGGCTNTCTATGTATTTTCTAATCTTCAATTTTTTGTTTAATGGAAATCTCGAAAATTTACATTGAAAGATATGTTTTTGTAGACGAACGAAAATCAAATATACTTACCCATGATCAAGTGTTTGTCAGTAAGTTGAAACCCACTGATACTCTTTTGATAACTGCTAATGGTTTCCACAGCACGACTCAAACACCAAAACGATAGTAGTAATTGTCAATATTAATTTTAATATTTTTTTTATCTTCAGTGGAGGGGAGAGGATAATTGTTCAAGCTGATTTTTTTTATCTGCGACAAATAAATTAACTTATTGCCGGGTTTTAGCTAGCGATATCCGTAATACGAGAAATAACAACGTACAGGGTATTGAAAATGATAAGTAGTACTGGGAAAATGTTTCAATAACTTTATCAAATCTGGAGTAGAAATTACTTTTCTGTCTTTTGCAAAACTGTATGTATGAGATGAAATTGGCTGATACTTGATGAAAATCCATGACGTAATCGAGTTGAGATTTCTACTGGATAGTTTACAAAACCGCAATACGTGTTTCGGTATACTACAGCTTCCTCGGGCCTTTTCATAGTGACTGAATTCCAAGTAATTAGTGATTTATGTCATAAACATTTTAATCATGTGGCATTATTGACCATTCTAATTCCAACTGAGCTTAGGTAGAAACTAATTTCGAATGCTCTGATCCATTACTTGAAGAAAATTAATAACACTATTCATGGTAATCTAATACAGGGCTAACAAAATTTTGATCCTCCTGTAAGTTAGAAACGGAAGTGTCATCAAAAATTTGAAAGAACACGTCAATTTTTATTTTTCTACTTTCTAAAGCGTTCCTTATATTATTGAAGATGTCCGGACTCAGAAATCAGCATTGCTGAACAATTATCTATCGCAGGTCTTCTAGATTTAAAAAATGTATTCAGTTGTAAACATTTTGAAGTGGACGACACTGTTAGTTTTTTCTGCACTGGTAGTTTTTGTTGAATCTAGTTGTCGCAGAACAGAAAGTAGATAGTTAGTCACTGTCACTTCTTCACAAATTATTATTCAGTCATCCTTGTTCACTGTATTCCAACATGGTTCATTCTACTGAAGAAAGAATAGAAATTGTTGCAACCTATTATCGAAATTATAAATGTGCTAAAGCTGCTACAAGAATTTATCGACTTCTGAGGGTTATCGTTCGTAGGGGTGCGACAGCTGGTTAACGGAAAAAACATATTTTAAACATAGTTACACACCTCTCCTTCCTTATCATATCATATATCTTTTTTCTTCATTCGTGAAAGCTATTTTTCGCCAAAAATTCAATGACTTATGCAATAACAAAATGTCATTGAGTGTAACAAATTGAAAGTCAAATTCAGAAACATCAAAGTCGAAGCATATTATGATAAGAATGAATTTTTTTAATATCTCCAATTTTTCGAAAAAGAATGATAACTTACGATACATCATTGGAAAGGTGAAATCTAGTAAAAAAAATGAAATGAGAAATGAAAATTTCTATGTTTTTTACCACTTTTATTTGTAACTAACGTTACTGCAGTTTCGTCCTATATGGACATTCTCAAACTTATACAATAAACTAACCATGATTCGTTACATTCGCCAATATATACCATCCCTGTAGGTACTAATAGAAATAGAGGTACTTGACTTGATTGAGTACCTGAATTTACAACAATGCGGATGTGCCAATTTAAAAACCGGAGAGTAAATTAAATCGATTTGATCATTTAACAGGTTGAACCCGCAATGTTTATGCTTGTGAATATCCAAGGATTCTAAATAATTGAGTTTGCAACCCTTCCTTGCATAGTGCAGAATTTCCGTATCGCTTAGATTCAAAAACTTGTGGTTACATGTACTTGTGGTTGCATGGTTTGCAACCATGTAACCATGGTTGCAAACCATGGTTACATGGTTTGCAACCACGTTGCAGAACGTTGAATAGCAAATCTGAAAACACCATTACGTAGCAAGGAAAAAGTGGCAATGTGAAAGTGCAATTCATTTTCAAATAATTTGAACAATGAAGCCAGAAAAAATAAAAGTCATTTTTCGAAATTTCTTTTTTTTCCGGATATACTTCAGAACTTTCCCAACGGCATATTGTTAGTCAGGTAAATGCCCAACGTTGCCCCAATCATACCATCTTCATATCTCTCATAGTTTCCGAGATCCCAACGGTGAGGATCGAATTTGAAACACCCTGTAAATGATGAAATGAAGTATTCGATGAATCAATAATGGCTCATTTGTGTATTCCATCAGAGTTTTGAATTTTATTGGGAAATCGCCTGAAAACAGAATACCTGTTTTTTTTGAGTAAACAAATGAATATCTTCAGAATGCTTCATTTTTAGTATGGAGTGAATCACATAAACTCACATCAGAATTATACCAGGTCTTCAAAAACGTTAGAATATACAGCGTGTTGTATTTTTAGGAACACAACTAGACAGCAAACTTGACTTCAAAAAACACATCGAATTTCTCTGCAAAAAACTCGGTAAAACGTTGTTTGCATTTGCGACTCTAAAAAATAACTTCAATAAAGGGCATTTGCTAGATTTGTATTATTCTCTCGTTTATTCAACTCTGTGTATGAAGATAATGGTTTGGGAACAATCAGTGGAAGTAGAAAGAGTTTTTGTTATCCAAAAAAGATTTGTAAGATTAATTTTCGATCTAAAATACAACGAATCATGTAGAGAAGTCTTCTTTAAAAATAAAATTCTGACGGTATTTGGTATCTATCTTTATAAATTACTGTCTTACATCCACTCAAATTTGTCTTCATTCACTAGATCTCGCGAAATACACGATTACCCCACTAGACAAAACCATGAAATTCATCTTAGANTCACAAATACAGGGTGTAACTGAATAAGTGTGAAACATTCAAGGAGATGATTCCTCACAGAAAAAAAATAGGATCTTTCATATAAAGAAATTTCATTGGAGCATCCTTTGTTAAGATACAGCCCCTTAAAGGGGGTACATAAAATTTGTATAACATTTTTTTCACAAACACTAAAAAAGTTACAATATTGAAATTAACCTGACGTTTTGTACTACCAAAAAGACACTTAGCCAGTAATTTATTTGGTTTACCCCATGTTTGTAAGGGGTGGAAAACGCAACCCCTAAAATTTATTTCCGATGTAACTTTTTGTCTTATTATTTGTTTAACATTTGAACATTTATTTCCGATAGACTGTTTGTAGAAGACAGTCCTTTAAGCTACACTCAATGAAAAAATATACAACATAATTTTAACATTCATAAATAAATCTTAAATATCAATATAAAACGTAGTAACTCGATTGATTCGAAAATTCTGTGGCAAAATAAACTCCGGTTTGAAGGCGGGGGAGTTGGGGGGTAAAAAAAGAACAAATGATTCAAACTCAAAGTTGTGTAGAGGAATCGGAATAAACCTGACACTACAGAGAGTACGGTCAGTACAGAGTCAACGTTTCTTGATGTTCCATCTACATCAACCGGTACAGTAAGAACAACATCCGATTTTTCATTAGGTTCGGCCGATTCAACATTTACGGAAGTAGATTATAATTCGGATTTGTATAGTGATAGTAGGTACTCCAGATAAGATAGTGCGTCAACTAATTCTAAAAGGACCTCCTTACCAACCTGGGATATTAGATGACTTTCAAGACTTTCCAGTTTCCAAAATTTAACGTTTCTTGGTACAAACTTAAAAAAACAACTTTTGGACAGTGCCGCAACGTGAATGGTTAGTTTACTCTCCAAGAGGTAATAAAATGTTTTGTTTGGTATGCTAGCTTTCTGATAGTGCGCATTGTTTATTATTGAAATATTTCTTTCATTTGTGTGTGCTGTTTCTTTGTGATCTTATTTCATTTTTTGATGGGAAATACAGTATTACTTCAAATATCTATGCCTTTATACTGAATCTTGGCGCCTAGTTATGGTGCGCCCTTCCCCGCCCTTAATTTTTAGCATATGGAAGCATATGAAAAAACCTACATTCGCCAATTCTCAGGATATGAATCCTATTATTTCCCAAATAGATACTTTTGCGAAATTGTCGATCACCTGGATTTCTCATAACTTCCTGTATATGTGTGACTTCATTTTTATAACTTGGTTATTATTTTTCTGAGACATCCATTCATCATTTTATGTCAGCAAGATTGTTTTCCTCGAAACGCGTTTATGAGTTGTCGATAGATATTAGTAATATAAAACAATAAAAAGGATATTGATTAAATCCACTGGATTTCCATGTCATCGCCCTCTACGCAATGAATATATCCTAATCATTGGAATGACGTTAATACAAAACCTGTTTTTCTATCTCTGTTAATAATTTGTCTTTGGGAATTAAATGAATGGCATTCAACTCAGTTGAACGGAACAATGATATGAATAATCAATGAAAATTTCCAAATAATTTCCAGATCAAACTCTGTATAAGGCACTTAATTAAGCGCTTCCTATATTTGAATTTGAATAAAACAAAGTGTGTCTGAGATATCATCGAATTTTTTATTTGTTTGGAAGACCTATTGATGCCATCATGTGTGGAATATAACATCGTTCAAAGGTCCGTCATGGCTCTTCTGGGTGGAGCGATTCTGAAATGTCCAGTTTTGCATTACTCTGGCGCATCTGTATCTGTAGAGTAGAAGGGTGTGTGTAGATCCACAGCACTTAGGCCACATGTGACCCATTGTACATCCTCCCGAGGAGTTGTCCTCCCTCCTAGCTCATCGTCCATCCTGTCCTTAGCAGGAAGGTGGACAGTTCACTAGGAAACATCTCCTTTATATCGAGGTGTAGGCCGAGACTCGCCGAACACACACTCTCTTTGGCAACCTTGAGGTGTCTCACGGTGGCTTCCGCGAAGGTTTTGGAAAGTGCAGCGACAATACTGTCGTTGCGCGGCTTCTTCAACCTTCTTGGGGTTCCCTCCGTGGAGGTGCACAAGTGAGGGAGCTTTCCTGCAGGGGCAGCCGATTCCTTGCCTTTATTCAAAGTGGATCTCTTGACGCCCGTCGCAGGAAGTACCCTTGCTGTTGGAGCTGAAGTGGGTGAGGAGAAGGGTGCTCTTATGGTTGCTGCCACTCCTGCCTCCATAGCTCTCTTTCTCATTTTGGACTTGGCGCCGCAAATACGCTTACGTCTTGGCCTTTGTATTACATCACGAGGTCATCTGCTATATCCAGCCTCATTTCAAGCGGTGGATTGGGGTGGACATTTATGTTCATCCCAAGCCACTGCCTTAGAATGAGGTTAGCAGTGGTGTCCAGCCTCGGGATTGGTTTTTGTTTTTGTTTTTTCTGTTTTTGTGTTTGTTTCAGTCATGAGAGTAGCAAGGGTCACCTCTGGCAGAGTCGCGCATTACCAGAGGTAGGCTGATCACAATGAGGTTTCGCCCAGTTCCTCAAGGAGATCGTTTGTGGCCGCAGCTGCCGGCAGGATAGGCTGGATAGGCTGGTCCACGATGGCATGTTTTGTAAAGACTTTTAAGGAGTTTCAGTTCCCTTCACCCTACTTATTTCTGCCACTGACCAGGAGTCCGGCGACCCCGTCCGTAAGGCTACATTGGCTTCTTTATCTGCCACCTGGGGACGCGCCTGATTGGTAGCCCAACCCACGGGTACTCTGGCGCATAAATCAGGCTTAATTTGACCGAAGACATAAGTTATGTTGGCTTTGAGGATCGCTGTGGTTTGAGGCTTATTCGCTTACACTTGTAACTTGAGAAAACCCCACAATAAAAAGTCTAATGGGGTCAATGAGAGGCCATACCCTCAAACCGTTCGTGCAGAATATCCAATGTGACATGAGCTCTGTGGCAAGGTACGCCGTCTTGTTGATATCACATGTCGTTTGTATCCAGATCATCCTTTTCCGGCCAAAAGAAGTTGAAATCATCGACCTATAGTACTCGTCGTTGACAGTGATGGCCTGGCCAACGTTGTTCTCGAAGAAATATGGATCGATTACGCCGCCAGCCCAAAATCCACACCAAATACTGACTTTTTCGGGATGCATTGGACGAAATGAGTTTTCATTGAAAATGTGAACGGTTGAATAGATGAACTTTTTGACGTTATTTCCTTTATTCTTGGTATACAGGCCAATTTACGGTGGATAGCATATTAGACGTTTCTGGTGAACCAGGCAACGGTATGGTGTCCAAGTATAAAAGGAAAACCGCTCAGCAGTCCTGGAACTCTGAAGCTATGCAAAAAGGCCATTGATGCAGTGAAGAAGGACGGGTTGCCTTGGCAAACCGCAGCTAAAAGGTTCCAGGTACCTGGAAATACTTTAAAATGGCGTGCATTCGACAAAAATGTTCAAGCAGTAAACACAAAAAAGGTTCTTAGTCACTTTCGGCCCATATTTACTGAGGAGCAGGAAAACAAAATAGTTAACCATCTTTTGGACATGGAAGTCCGTTTTTTTGGTGTAACAGTCGCTGATCTACAGGCTCTTGCCTACAAACTCGCTGTAAAAAATTGCATACCTCATAACTTTAGTCATGAAAAGCTGCTGGGAAAGATTGGGTACAGGGATTTAGAAAACGCCACCCTATGATTGCATTACGGAAGCCTGAGGCGACTTCAGCTGCACGGGCTCAAGCGTTTAACAAAACTAATGTATCAAAGTTTTTTGACATTTTGGAAAGCATTCATAAAGATCACGTACTCACACCTCATAGGGTGTACAATGTTGATCAGACTGGTCTCTTAACAGTCCAGCCCAAGTCGTCCAAGGTCTTTTCTCTAAAAGGTCGGCGACAAGTCGGCTCTTTGACATCTGCTGAACGAGGCGTTCTTTCAACTTTTGTAGTCTGTGTTTCAGCTGGGGGGACATTTATACCACCCTTTGTGATTTTACCAAGGCGTAGAATGAAAGTTGAACTGCAAGATGGTGCACCTCCTAGATCAGCTTTTGCATGTCATCCTACTAGTTTTCACCTCATGGTTTGACCACTTCTTGAAATTTTCAGAGCCAACAAAAGACGACCCGATTCTTATGATACTAGACGGTCATACAACTCACACGAACAACTTAGACTTCATCGAAAAAGCCAGAGACAATCATGTCACTGTTTTGTGCATTTCCCCCACTGCAGTCATAAAATGCAGCCACTTGAAGTTGCGTTTATGGCACCTTTCAATACGTATTTTGTACAAAGCATTGAACAGTTCTTAAGAAATAATCCAGGACGGACAGTGACCGAATTCCAGGTTTCCCGGCTACTTGGTGAAGCGTTTTTGAAGGCAGCTACACCAGTTATCGCCATAAAAGGCTTTAGAAAATTAGGAATCATCCCAATCGACAGAAATGTGTTCACAGAACTGAAATATGCAGCTGCTGAAACAACAGAAATAACTCTATAAGAAGACCCTGCGCCAGGAGAAGAGAACACCATCGTACAAGTTTGTGCATCTTCATCTCAGACTGTCAACAACAGTAGCTCAACAGAACTCATTGGTAGTTCTGAAAACCCCAATACCGCCTTCATAATGGTATCCCTACCTTCTGTTGATCATCCAATCAGCTCTACCAGTGGGCTTCCTTCTGCCACATTTGATCCGTCTATTCCCAGCACTTCATCAGCTGGTTCCCTAGAAAAAACTTCAAATTTGAACAGTCCACCAAACAAGAAGTCCCAATTATTTGTTGTAAGTTCACGTGAAATTGTTCCTGTACCCAAGGTCAATAGGATTATCAAAAGAGAAACTAAGCGGAAGAAAGGAACAGCAACAGTTCTAACATCCAGTCCATATAAGGCCACTCTCATGGCAATTAGGAAAGAAAAAGAAGATGAAGAGAATGCAAAACAACGTAGACTAGGAACAAAAAGAGAAAGGGAAATCGAAAAGAAACAGCAGGCTCCTAAAAAAAGGGTGGCTAAAATTGAAAATAAAGGAAAACGGCAATTGTTCAAGAAAAAAAATGACGATCTCTATAATGATGATGATGAAGGCAACGTCAGCGACGTCGATTGTTTATTCTGTGGTGATTGTTACTCGAAGTCCAAGGACAACGAAGGCTAGATTAGATGTTCTGGGTGTCTCAAATGGACTCACGAAGCCTGCACAGGAGCCGAAGAGGAGGACGATGAGTTTATTTGTGATTTATGTAAATACCAGTGATTTCATAGTTTCACATACTTTCAGTAATGCCTATTCTTGTTTAAAACCCTAATACAATCGTTTTGAGTTCTGAAACTAAATGCATTTTATTTTTTCCATACTACCTAGATCCATTTAGGCCGTGGCCACTTTGCCCTACCTAGTGGCCTAAAGTGGCTACTTTGACAACTTTTGGTAAAGTCAAAATTTTGTTCAAATACGTTTAAAAATCAAGTCGTTTTTATTTTTGGATCAGGCCTAAGTAACCATACTAAATGTTGAAGGGATTTATAAAATGTTTCAAAAAAGTTTAGGGGTGAAAAAAAATAGATGTTCCTTACGGTGGCCACTATGCCTACCCCTCCTCTATATAATATTATTTTTGAAATCTACAACAACTACCCGACAACTTTTCTTGGTACTTTTCTATACCTATCTGGTACCGTTTTCAAAATATGACTTGATTTCAATTTTTTTCTTTCGGAAATTATGACCTCTAATAATATCTTTAAGTTAAGGAATACTATGGCACCGAAATCTGGTTTGGAATTGGGTGATATTTGGAGCCTTCCCACATTTCAGCGTAATCTCCGTCACGTCAATACAGGGTGGTAAAAAATACAGTTTTTTCGTTTGCGTGAAAAAGTAATTGAAAGTCGATTATTTCAAAAGGAACATCTTGTGTTTTACTACAAATTCAGTAAGCTGGTAAAATTTGCTTTCTTTTTGTTCTATAATTTCAAAACAGTAGGCAGTAAATTATCAGAAATGACTGATGTTTCTGCCTCAATCTGTCTTTTGCAGTGGCTTACGGAAATTTGGCGAAACACGTGTTGCGTTTTTGTAAAACTTTCTGGTGAAAATCACACAATGAAGTGTTTTTAGAATACGTTAACCACCAGAAAACATTTAAACTTTCATACACATATTGAAAGACACAGATTTCGCATGCTCGATTGATTTGACCGTTTAATTTGACGCTCTTAAGTTTCAAATCGGTAAAAAATATAATCTATTGTATTTTTTGACGTTAACCGCCATTTGCAACTGAAATCAATATCTCCAATATCTGAAGTTACTGTTCAACTTGATTTCTGACTTGGATGCACAAATGCAAAATCATGACTCATTGAATAATTATGATCAGCGCACTTTTTGGAAATTCAGAAAATAATGTTTCATTGATAAATTTGTTCAGTAAGATATCACAACTTCCGAACTAACGAAATTATTTCTCTCACCATTTGTTCTGGACACAATCCAGGAAATATAGGCAGTTGTCCTGGTATTGATTGCTGGTCTGCCAGTGGCGCACCCTAGACCATAGGAAATTATTCCAACCAACTGAAGTCTTCTTTTCTCAGGATCCATCCATAAAAGAGGGCCTGGAACAATCAATTCATAGTTGAAGCCTATAGAACCATATTCTTTATTCTCAAAGATAGATAATTTTGCTGTGCATGGTTATTTCTTATTTTCTTTATTAACTTATCAGAACTATCGATATCAGCATATGAACCCTGTGAAAGTTTCATTTCTTTTTTATTTTTATACATAAAAGTGGTAAAAAACGAAGAAAGTTTCATTTTTCTTTTCTCCACAAAAAGTTTTCTTATTAGTCAGTGGGCTATGCTTGAAGGCTGGCAGTAAACAAATCTAAAGCAAATGGAACTTCAAACGTTCAAGTCAGTCTCTATATACCTACACAGTAGGTTTGATGGACCTACCCCTGGCTAATACCACGAAGGGCGTTGGATTATATCCGACACTGATGCCTGTCGTTTGAAGTTCCATTTGCTTTAGATTTGTTTACTGCCAGTTTTCAAGCATAGCCCACTGACTAATAAGGAAGTTTTTCTTCCTTATTCAGAGGAATGGGGCAAATTACGGATATGCAGTTGGTTAGTACCTCGTCCACTAGATGGAGTGACATTTTGTGATGTTCGCTCCAACTTCGGAAAAGGAATGAAATACTCTGTTTGAATTCCGATTTTTAATTGGAAGAATTCCGCCTGGAATTCCACACCATCACATAAAAAAAAAGATGTCCCGCTCCACGCGGTCATACGGGGGATATCGGAAAACGCGGAAGAAACGGATGTGGCAGAAGACCTGAAAAGACAGGGATTCGACGTGATCGAATGCCACAGGATGACATCCAGACGCACAAGGCAAACACTGCCTCTATTCTTAGTAAAAGTGCACAAAAGTCAAGAAAAAATCTTCGCACTGAGAACGTGCGTAAAGCTGATAGTGCGGGCGGAGCCGCGAAGAATAAACAAAGGAGTAGTAAGACAGTGCCACCGATGCCAATACTTTGGGCATGCGTAGAGATGCTGCCACGCAACCGCGCGTTGCGTAAAATGCGGAGAACTGCACGAAACCAGGGACTGCCAGAAAGAGCGAGAAGCGCCGGCCAAATGCGCAAACTGCTTGGGAGCGCACCCGGCAAGTTACAGGGGATGCAGGATGTTCTCCAAATTCAGACCCTCACAAACAGCAGGAAACAGGCCTCGACAAGCGGAAAGTCAGAGGCCCCGGCAGCAGCCAGCTCAAAGGAAACCAGCACCGAAGGCGCAACATCGAAGGAAACGAGCTGGTCCAAATCCTAGGGAACGTAACGACTGAGCAGCAAAAGATCGCGCAAGCTGTCTTAGCTGCCTCAATACAAGCACCCGGATGAGCTACTGGAGATGCTATCGCGCCTGGACATGGACGTTATGGCACCGAATTCCAGGATATAACGTATACAGAACAGAAAGGCCAGGAGGAAGCCGCGCCGTAGGAGGGGCAACGCTACTAGTAAAAACAGACCTAACACAGAATGAAGACAGAAAACCAGAAGTCCAACTCGGAAAAGCAGTAGCGGTCAGAGTCAAAATGAGACGCTATGAGCAGCTGAGAATAACAACGGTCCACCCCTGGCCCCGATATTTCCCAAGGAAGAGAAAGACATACTAAGACGTCTATCCACTCGGAAAGCACCAGGCCCGGACCACATAACAAACCGGGCACTGAAAGTCCTATCGCGCAAGGGTATAGCAGCCATAACAAACATCATAAATGCTATACTCAGATTGAAGCACTTCCCGTACCAGTTCAAAGAGGCAACGGTTATCCACATCCCGAAGCCCAAGAAGAACCACCTGTTCCCAGACAACCACAGGCCAATAAGCTTACTACGTTCCATAAGCAAAGTGGCGGAACGCGTCATTTTGAAGAGACTCGAAGATCAAACTAGAGAGCTAGGAATCCTCCCGGATGAACAATTCGGTTTTAGATCAGAACACTCAACAGAGCTACAAGTCCTGAGGGTAGTAGACTTTGCGACTAAAGGCTTCAACCTTGGCAAAGGACACAACACCGGTGCAATCTTCCTAGACGTCTCCAATGCGTTCGACAGAGTTTGACATCAAGGACTACTGGCCAAAATGAGCGATTTCGGATACTCAAAACCAATAGTAAGATTAATACAGTCTTTTCTAGCTGACAGACGATGCCGATGCAGAGTAGGAGACGAACTATCTACAATTCGACTACTGGAAGCAGGCGTCCCGCAAGGAGCAGTCCTTTCGCCACACCTCTTCTCCGTATATACAGCGGACGTGCCCAAGCCGGAGAACAGCTTTAACAAGTTGGCGCTCTAGGCAGACGACACGGCCCTGCTGGCAAGATCCACAAGCCAAGTGCATGTTACAAGATACCTGCAGCAACAGGCAGACAGATTAGAGGAGTGGGCCAACCTATGGAAGATCAGTATAAACCCTGACAAGAGTCAAGCGATACTGTTCACCCGCAGGTTGGTACAACCGGAAGGCAACGTCACCTTCAACGGACAAGAGATTCCGTGGACCAGCAAAGCGACATACCTGAGGGTCATCCTAGACAAGAGATTAACATTTCAGTCTCACGTAAGGCAGAGAATTGGAATGGCCAGACACGCCAGACAACGACTGGCACCTATCATAGGACGCAGAAGCAACATGGGGCTGAAAGTAAAGTTGCTAATGATCAAAACCGTCCTCATGCCCATTATGTTGTATGCCTGCACTGCCTGGGGCCAGTGCGCACAGACATACAGGAAGCAGATACAGTCGTTTATGAACGCGAGCGTAAGGGCCGCCGTAAACGCGCCGTAATACATCCCAAACAGATATATATACAGAGACTTAGACCTGGACACGCAATATGTGGACGTGTATATGAGAGATCACGCAGAGAGCGTGTTCGATAGAATCAGATCGCACAACAACCCAGCGCTACGCGATCTACACGATGCGTTGAACGTGGATGACCCCAGGTTCCGAGAAAGGGACAAACACCCAAGGCCGACAAAGCAGAACCAAAGACTGCCCCCACGAGTCGCCGTAAGGCGACTCCGGTACGCATAACTAATCAGATTTTCTTTCAGCAAGTTCACCGCAGAACAAATCGACCGCGATTCTAGAATCCTTAGACTCACTGAGGAACGCCCGACATTAATAACAATAGCCGCCGGTTAGTGTTTGGAGGCCCCCATGCAAAAATTCAGTTAGGAATAGTCATGACAAAACAATTTTTACTGATCGCGAAAGAATAGCACCTAAAGGCTGACTTTCGACCAAAAGAGGTCAGATGTCAATCTTGCTGAAGTGCCCATCAGTAAGTTGAGGACCGCTCGGAGAGCGGGGGTGGATGGAGTGGGGTAGTAGGTTCTCCTCGCTAAATAAATGGGGGGAAGCTCCTACGTCAGGGCACTCAACCCGGGAGGGGGCATGGGGGGATTTTCAATTGTGGAATATCATTGACTTTAGGTCGATGATGATCACTATCCTGCACTGATGAGTACTAATAAGCCCGAAACCGGTCTGCAAGTGTACACGTTCCATAATAATTGAAGGTCGACTCTTTCAGTTGTATTGCCAATTGCATATGCAGGAAATTTTCTGTGAAGATTCCTGCACTGACGCCTGTCAGATATAATCCAACACCCTTCGTGGTATTAGCCAGGGGAGTAGTTGTTTTCTGATAGGCGTCAGTCCATTAAACCTACTGTGTTGGTAAATAGAGACTGGCTTGAACGTTTGCTTTAGATTTGTTCACAAAATGTTTGTTCAAAAAATAAAATAAATGTTCGAGATAGAACTTGGGGGTATGAAAAATATATCGAAACCTATTTTCAGATCTATCGAATATACATATGGAATTTCATGAAAATCGGTTTAGCCGTTTCCGAGGAGTATGGCAACGAACAGTGTGACACGAGACTTTTATATGTTAGATTGAAGATATTCCATATACATTTCATACAACAATATTGCTCGAATGTCAACGAAACTATACTAGGATATCCTCTTTGAAACAAAAATAATCTTTCTCGCACTAGTAACAAATTTGTGATGCACTGTTTGAAACCTTTGGTGTAGTCATGAATATAACTGGATTTTTATCGCAACACAAAACCGTTATTTTTACACTTCGACAAGTATTTCGATCACCAAGTGATTATCTTCAAGAAGATTGAACAGTTCAATCTTCCTCTTGAAGATGATCATTTGGTGATCGAAACACGTGTCGTGGTGTTAAAATAATTGTTTGGTGTTGGGATAAAACTCCAGTAATACTCATTTAGGTGCAACATGTTGAGAAAAATTTATATAGAAACAAATTGAATAATTCCTCTCCTCGAAGAATATTGAAAATGGAATCTCACCTCCCGAATCGCTCTGACAAGCGTCCTTTCCTGGTACGTATGTGCAAATTTGTCCTGGTGTTATGATACTAGCAGAATTTTCTTGGGAACATAAAAGGTTTGATGTTACAGTCAAATCAACCTTCATCAAAACATCTGACTGTGGTCCAGTATAGAATATTTGCCCCCAACCTGTATGGAAAAAGACAATATATTATTCAAAAATCTTTAAATTATCACAAACACTATGAGTGGGGAATGGAAAAATATACACTCCTTATTCAAAGTTGATTGATTGTGACAAATGTTTTCAGATTATAATACAATTTTCGTTCAAAAAATATTCCATAATGAAATATTAGTAGGTGTGATGTGGAGTAACTCGCCCTCCACTAATTATTTCATGACTTTTTCCTTGTTTTTCAGCAGATCATTCATTTTTGATAATAAGACAAAGATAAAGGGTGAATTGCCTAGAAAAAAACAAGCAAAAACATGCTTATTGTCAAGGAAAGAAAGAGAACAAACACTAAAGTTCTCAGAGACCTGGAATCGGGCATGTATCTACAAGCTGCCATGGGCTTGATTGCATTTCCCTTTACACTATTGAGCTGATCTGATATATTATTAATTAAAAAAATAACATCTCACCCAGTGCTGTAACTTTTTGTCCTTCGAAATCCCAGGTTGTGTATCTAAAAGGCAAACAAACGGGTCCTACGTATAGATTGAATTTCATATCCACAGCGGTCTTCAGTATAGCCAAATCATTAACCAAAGTTCCGTTGTCGAAACGGGGATGTGTCTCAGAATACGAGACCCTATAGAGAGCTGCTGCTGCTGTTTCGTATTCTGAAAATATCATAAAATGGAAGTGCTGGAAGTGATTTTCATTATTCATTTCATGCTTGATGTTTGAGTTCTTGATTAATATTCATTTCAATGTATCAAGAGTATCGAGTAGGTGTTTGTGTTGCAAGGGTGAGGATCTTACAAACCCTAGAGAGTCTGGCCAAAGGCTGAGGCAAACGTACACATCTACTGATAATCACGCTGCAAACAAACTGTCGTTTCGTACTAGGTTCCAATATTTTCATTTTCTAGTAATTGGCTTCATAAAATGCTGTATTGATTTATTGGAGAAGCCAATTTTGAAATATCTGATGGGGTTTCAAAAAGGAGTAGACTGCAAAGTAAAACCTATCGAAAAAATCAAGAGACGACTATGACTGAAAATATGTTAATGTTAATATGTTGAAACGTTAATATGTTATTAAGTTAATATGTTTGTGTATTGTGTGTATTTGATATCCTTAGTCATATTTTTCCATATAAATCTAGCTTTAGTTTTATAATAGGTTCATCATGGCCTCCTGAAGTAGCATCGTCCTGATACAATTTTAGAATTTCGTTCATCATCTGCTTGCGTTTAACTTGATATCTGCCGTCTTCCATTTTTTCCATATACAAAAATTAAAGAAGAAGAATAAAAGAGAACAGCTGAGAAGGAAGCCCACAAAGAATTGCCATTCTTAGACGTATTGGTGAAGAGGACCGACACTAAGTGGGAAACATCTGTATACCGAAAACCTACTCATACGGGACAGTATCTGAACCACGAATCCAACCACCATCAATCGACTAAAAGAGGAATCATCAAGACTCTATTAGACCGTGCTTCTGGGCTCTGTAATACGAAGGAAGTATCAGGAATAGCAGACCATGTTTGGACCTATCAACACAACATCGAATGGTCCCAAGCTGAGATCATACACAGAGAGGAACATTGGTTTAGGAGAAAATTCAAGGAAGCCGCATAAATGTTGTCCAACAACGTATTCAGCCAAGCTAGCGTAGAGATACGCAATATATGGAAACCCATCATCAAGCGAAAAATGGCCAACTCCTGGCAAACGGTCATCTCCCACTGAACCAGGTCTCGAGAAAGAACTAGACATCATCAAAAATGATCTTCAGCGGAATGGATACTCCAAAGCGATGGTAGAAAAGACTTTGGCTAAAAGACAGCAGGAGCCCCGAAAGGAAGAGAAGCCGTCACAACCAGTGCTTGCACATCCCTAGATTATCGTATCTTTCCCTAGGGAAAGATACGAATAATTGGATCCAAGTACAACATCAGAATCTGCTCCAGATTCAGAAAAACCCTATCCGTTGCAGCCTCACGAAAATCAAGCCACCAAACGCGAACAGCGATTCCAAGAATTGCATTTGCTTGTGTTATGTCTTCAAAAAATCCAATTGCTATGCGTCTAGACGACCCACTATAATATTCAGCACCAAAAATCGACTTACTTGCAGAAATATTGTGATCACCAACGAGAATTCCAAGATCCTCTAATTTTACTAAAGGAAGACAATGAGCAGCTGTGAGCACGTATCGTTTGGAAATTATGCTGCCGCCACAAAAGACGCTTCGTGTCACCGTATTCACCAGTGCAGCCATGGATGGAAATTCGTTGACCATGGTTTCCACTCCTCCCACAATTCTAGTCTGTGGAAAAAAATATTTCAATGTCGAAACAATGCATACTATAGAGGTGCAACACTGAAAAATTCGAAGGTGAATATTCAATATGTTTAAAAAAATACGTTTTGAATTGTACAATTTTTATAAATAGTCCGGTCAAATTAGACTAAAAATTAAGAGTGAAGGTACATACATTTACAACAAGCTGCAAATGCGTGTAATTGTTCAAAACATAGTTCAAAATAAGATTTTGAAATTGCGATGCCTGGAAAAAATGTATTCGAGGTCAAAGGTCAAAAATCTCGAAAAAAATTGTTTTTTCGCGATTTTCAGGAAAACGGCAAGTTTTATCATAAAATGACTTCAAATAAAAATTGTAGACCATAAAATTCTCTACAAAAAATATATACTTTGCATGTTTCGTAAAAAACACTAAAAATAAGAAACAGGTGCCATTAGCTTGTCTAGTAGTGTATAGTGTATAGTGAATAGTGTATGGTTTCCAATTGAAAAAATCGTGTTTCATCAGTTTTCCCGATGTTATGTTTTATAAACTCTCCTGAAAAAGCTACTTTCATATAAACATAGAATTCTACGAAAGAAAAATTCTTTCAAAACGAATACATTTTTATGAACACTGAATTATACAAAAAACACTTTTCTCTACTCACTTCGTATTCCAAACATTCGTTATGGAATCAAATCAGATATCATTCACAGGATTTGTACACAATATACTAAATGAAAGTAAACATTTTCACTTACATGGAACACTGTCATCCTCACTGGTAGACATTGAAGTATCTGTTTCAGGAGAATGTTATCTTCCAGTTTGTGTCTGAAAGTTACATCTTTGCATGATCTACACATATATGTATAGAGTTACTTCTTTGAAAGTGATTGCTTCCTTGCTTCTTTTGAAAGATTCACACATTTTTTTGTAAAAAGATAGCGTAGTAGAAAGCCAAAAACTTTCTTCCCAAAAGTTTGTCACTCCTAAAAATATAACCCTTTCAATTTGAACAATAGTACTGAAGTTGTTGTTGACGAAATGTTGAAGAAATGATGAAAAACTTATCCACAACAAACAAGGTATAAAAAGCCGAAAAAGAATAAATAGAGTACCACCTTAAGCTTAAATTTTGACAAAAAAGTGTTTTTCCAAAAGTCCGTTACTGTATGATAGTTTATGGTTTTCAGAAAAGTTATCTTACTCCTTGTCGTAGTCCACAATCACATTCTCTCGGTGTTGGGGGTGTTGAAGAATCGGAATCTTGAATTGCTGCTACGGAACATATGAATCTGCCAGTGGGAGATGTAGCCGTTGTGAACAGACCTGTTTTAATCATAATATGTTGTAGATTTGAACAAAAGGACGGTAAAGTTCATAATTGAACACAGACCGATTCCACAAAAATATCTTCATGAATAGAAGTTTAACAGATCTGTGGTAACAACAACAAAATATGGCAGAGATAACTGAGTACAAGAAGAATGTTCAAAACTATTTCTAACAACAACTCTTAAAAATTCAAATTCGTGTTATATTGATCAGATTGAATATATTATTATCAAAAATTATTGTTTCTCTCAAAGCGCTCTTTCCTAAATGATTGCAAAATAACTTTACCATGTACGTATTGAAGATATAAGTGTTTGGTAAGATTATCGCTAAAGATATAATACTAACACAGAACTCAGCTGTATTTCATAAATTTGACAATAGTTTTTCAATCCATCACCAACAGTTCAGATTGTGATGGTGGTAGTGGTAGTTGTAGTTGTAGTAGTTTCATTGTCCTATCTTGCACTGATGAGTGGCTAATGAGCCCGAAACCGGTCTGCAAATGTGCCCGTTCCAAAATTGAGGATCGACTCTTTCAGTTGTGTTGCCAATTGCATATACAGAAAATTTTCTGTGAAGATTCCTGCACTGACGCCTGTCGGATGTAATCCAACGCCGTTCGTGGTATTAGCCAGGGGTGTAGTTGTTTTCTGATAGGCGTCAGTCCATTCATCCTACTGTGTAGGTATATCAGAGACTGGATTGAACATTTGAAGTTTATTTCTTTAGATTTGTTTACTGCCTGTTTTTCAGCATAGCTCACTGACTAACTGACTAAGAAAAATCTTATTTTTTAAAACACAAGTGTTTTACTGCAATTCAAATATAGACATCTCTATATTCCTTCTATGAAATAATTTGGACTATATCTTACCTACAGCAAGAGAATTTCCAGTCGTCACTAAGCTTACCGAACCGATTCCACAGTAATTTCTCGAATCTTTAAAACTTTCATCTCCACTTAGTGATATGGACAACTTGTCACCCACACAATTCTTTGTCTGAAATCAAACATTCATTCATTACATTTGTTGATATGACTAATGTAGATTAAGAATAGCAGTGGCCCCAGAATACTTCCCTGTGTAACCCCATGGTCAACGTTTATTGCTGTTGAAACATACTCATTAATTTTGGTTACTTGCTTCCTTCCTGTAAGGTAGTTACTGATCCAATTAAGTACTTTCGCTTTTATGCCATATTTCTTTAATTTTTTTGTTAATTATTTCATCAAAAAGTAGTAAAAATTATACTTTTCTAACGTTCACACTGTATTGGCACTAGGTGGAATCAAGTATACTTACGCTAGGTAAAGCGATATCGTCGCAGGCAATTACAATTCTGGTTCCTGAAGGACTTCTTCCAATCCAGGTACAGATTGTTGGAGGCGAATAATTTCCAGGGTATTCGTTGTTATAGATATAGTATTCCTGGCCCATTAGTAGATTTTGACGAAACTCACAACTCGTATTAGCTATCACTGAGACAGGCATGAAGAAATTGTAGAGACCCGATAATGCCATGACGAGAAATTAGAAAATTCTGTAAGAATAGAAAAATGATTGATAATAATGTGCTGATCATCCTGAAAGAAATTTTGGCTCACACAAAGCAGTACAGAATTTCAGTAAATTAGTTCAACAATGATTGATTCTGATTGATTCTAAAACTGAAATTATCAAATGAATAAATAGATGGATTGAACTATAATTTATATTTTGCCTTAATTGTTGATTTATAAAGATAATTTTCCTTTTTTAAAGTAGAATATCTAGGTACGTATAAATTATATGACATTTTGTGCACCTAACCTATCTTCCTCTATATAAATAAATAACAAAACAACTGTTGTTTATGTGGCTTGTGGAGGTGGTATTGAATTGAATATTTTCAACTTTATACAGGCGATGTTGCCAATATGTGAATTAGAAATAAATCCCTTCAAAAATTAAAACGCAATATCTGAAACATCAATTTAAATACTTTTCGAAGTGAATTTGAAAAACTTATTAATTAAACTCAACTTTATTTTGTTCAAACTTGCATTTGCTGTAATAACCCAAATTGAGGGACATTCCCCATTGAACTCGTCATGAATGTCCATTACACAATAGGGACTTTTATTATAATAGGTACGATGAAATTTTTTTAAATAATATACAGTGCAGACTTAAATGGTAACCCCCTGTTACCTTTTGAACGGGGCAATATATCACACTCGGACAAAATTTGTATGGAAAGGAACCGTTTTCAGTACTTTTTAATGGAAATCCAATGGTGTAACTTCTTTCGCTGCAGAAAGGGTTAGGCTAGGTTAGGTCCAAAGTGAGCGGGTCTAGTCAACCCTCCACCGCAACCCGGAAAGTTTTATTGTGGCTCATACCTAATCACACTCGACCAAATAAACCTAACTTCTTGACGAAGCCGATTAGTTTGTATGTTGAATGGTCTTTCGGGTCAGATGGTAGGGGTACAGTTCTGCCGAACTCTAGAAATCTATCAGACATCGTAGTACAACAAATGTTCAGTGTCAAGCTTCCGGAGGTGAATAAACGCCTTGGAGTGTGCCAATCCTGGAAGATTTTGCCTGAAGTCCATAAATCTTCTTGCCATCCAGGTGTTCAATCTTTGTTTGGTATAGCCTAAAGCGATGCCTAACATTTTTCTTTCAAATAGAAAGGGATGCTTGTACTCTTCATATTTCAATTTTCTATACAACAACCTCCACTGTTCGATACAAAGGGTGACAGAGTTCCCGTCCCAAACATCAATAATTCTCAAACAAATATCAAAATTCAATAAAGTAAAGGTTAAAGTGATGAATGCTTGTCCAACATAAATCCTAAGTATTTGAATTCAGTGATAAGCTCAATTTTGCCATTTTTCATTTTTGTTTCATTTTGATTTGAATCTAATTATCTGTAGTTAAACGGTGTAATATTACACCCTTTGTTTTGTTAACATTCAGCTTTCATTCATTAGTTTTGTAATATGCAGCAATATCATTTAATAATGGTAATAATATTTATTGATTTCTTTAGGATATCCTAATATACATACATTATTTTGAAAATATATAACTAAATGACATAAATAAAAAAAATGATGATATGATAGAAGAAAAAATATAATAGAAACCATATTTCAATGATTCCAGAACAGTTTCAACATGAGGATATACATAATAAATATATTACCAAACAGAAAAAAGAAAATCAAGTATGATATTTTATATAGTTCATG